AAATCAGGAAAGCTAAACATAACAGATTCAGAAAATTCTGCGAGGATATTAACTCTACACCTGCGGCAGCGAGGCTGCACAGGGCCCTGGCAAAAGGGTGAGCAGATACAGTTACGAGTGAATTTTAACCCCAAAAGCTGAGCTTGTGCGGGGAAAGGGACGGCTATTATTATTATTTGCCGTGGCGATCCGGGGCGACTTAAAGATGATTGATGGTGTCATTTGACTTACAGGTGAGGAAAACCCGGAAAACCCCACCCACCATCATCGAAAATGGTAATGCATGGTGATTTTATTTTAATAATCTGGATGCCATATCAACAGAAATTAACTTTCTGCTAATATGGCATCCATCAAATCCTATAGAGAACCATGCAAAAAAATTTACATGGTTTTCCGTAGGATCTGAAACCGTGTCTCGTTTTACCAGAAAATTGGCTGACAAATGAATGCCGCGCCGTAGACACCTACACCACCGTAGTCGATGGTGGCATTAAAGAAACCAAATGAAAGCTTCACGGAGAGCTCGCCTCTTACTCGAAACTCACTTTCTGGAAGCACACTTTTTCTAATAAGGGACACAACTAAGGTAAGCAGGTCCCCAAGAGAGGCCGCTGTAGTGGCCAAACACATATGCAGCAGAAATCGATTAAAGTGGGCTGTAAACACTTTTGAACCGTTTAAATCTCCAGGTGTGGATGGAATATTTCCTGCCCTGCTTCAGCGGGCACAGGAAGAATTACTACCACACATAATCCGGCTATCCCAGAGCACTCTGGAGCTGGGATATATACCAGAAGCATGAAGAAGGGCCAGAGTCACCTTTATTCCAAAAGTAGAGAAAAAGGATACCACACATCCTAAATCCTTCCGACCAATCAGCATCACATCCTTTGTATTAAAAACAATGGAGAAGGCAGTTGATAATTATATCAGAACGGAAGTCCTGGAGAGGGTGCCACTCCACCACAGCCAACACGCGTACCGAGCAGGAAGATCTACAGAAACTGCCCTGGTACAGTTAACTGACGTAGTCCAGGATCCACTGACAAACAAAGAAACGGTCGTGTGTGCCTTCCTAGACAACACGAATCTGTCAAAAGAGCACATCCAGATGAATGGCTCAGCTGTTATCTACGAGAACTGCAGAGACACAGATAGGGCAGGACACCATCTCCATCTGCACAACCAGAGGATGTCCACAAGGAGTTCAATCCCCACTAATGTGGAGCCTAACCATAGACGAACTTCTATGCAGGTTGACTGACCTTGGCATACCCTGTCAAGGTCATATTTGCTAGAGGTAAGTTTGGAAATATCCTGTGTGATATAGTCCAACGAGGACTAGAACATACCAAAAGATGGTGCTGTGAAGTGAGACTTAGTATAAACCCTACAAAAACAACACTAGTAGCCTTTTCAAGAAAAAGAAAACTTAATCTCAAAACCGTTAAATTAGACGGGATAGACATAGAATGGAAAAATGAAGTCAAATATCTATGCCTAACCCTGGACAACAAACTTCTCTGGAATACACATGAGAAGTAAATAGGAAAAAAGGCCACAATGGCCCTAATGGTATAAAGAATCATTGCAGGTAAACGATGGGGATGTAACCCAAACATACTTCGATGGATTTATACTGCAATAGTGAGATCAATCATTACTTACGGAGCTATAGCCTAGAGTAACAGAACTAATTTAGCTACTACGAGAGCTATCTCAAAAGTACAAAGACTAGCCTGTGTTTGCATCACCAGTGCAATGAGAACCTGCCCTAAGGCCACAATGGAGGTGATCTTAAACCTCACCCTTCTACATTTGATGATAGAGAATGTGGCAAAAAGGACACGATATAGAATGATCAGGAACGGAGTAATCAGATGAAAGTCTACTTGCTTCAGGATTAAAGATGCCTGGGACATGCCCAAGGATGAAATGCTAAAGTACAGTTTTGTGAAAAACTTCAAAACCACAGAGCTGGGCTGCAAGAAAGAATGGAGCCAAGAATCCATCGCGCTTGCAACGGTAAGACATGCTATTCAGTGGTATACGGATGGTTCCAAAACCATAGAAGAAACTGGAATAGGAGTGTATGTGCCAAGAACCAAGCACTCCGAAAGCTTGGGAAAACACCCAAGCATCTTCCAGGCGGAAATTCACGCCATCGAGAAGTGTATCCAGTTTAACATCGAGAGAAACTATCATAGACAAGAGATGATCATCATGTCCGATAGCCAAGCAGCCATCAAAGCGCTGATCTCTTACGTAATCAAGCTCAAAAATGGTCTGGATATACCTAAAACAATTGAATGAGCTAGGCGAGGAAAATAGAGTTACTCTCACTTGGGTCCCGGGACATGACGGGGTACAGGGTAACGAAATTGCAGATAGTCTTGCAAGGAAAGGAGCTCAAATACCCTTTGTAGGACCTGAGCCGTTCTGCGGTATCAGTAGTAACACAATATTAGGAGAGATTCAAAACGAATTGGGCAATAGAAGAACCGATAATTCGAACAATCTCTTGGGGCTGAGACAGGCTAAGATAGTTATGGGTGAATATAACCAGAAAAGATCGGAAGCCTGCATCTGTCTGAGCAAGAACATGCTACGTATTGTAACAAGGATAGTTACCGGGCATTGCCGACTAAAAGGACACCTTAGTAAACTGAAAGTAGTAGAGGATAGTTAGTGCAGATTCTGTGAGGAGGACGAAACCCCCATTCACATTCTAACTGAATGTGTAGCACTCCAGAATCCAAGGGCACTATACCTAGGAGGATATCAAATAGAAGAGGGAGATTTACCTAACTTAAAGCCACTCCAAATCCTATACTTCCTTGAGAAGATAGGATTGGAAAGGTCGTTATAGGCATTGAGACATTTCCTTGGTGCATTAGCGACAGAAGGGGACAATAGATCTTTTAGGTCGCAGTGTATTAACACCCCATTCCCAACATAACATAACTGAATCATCTTTCCATCAATGTGAATGTTAATATGATTTTTATCAATTTGGTTGTATTTATTGTCATGAAATTCCTAATCCGACCCTGTGCCTAAAGCAAGCGCGGCCTTCAGAAGGCAACCAACTCATGCTCGAGGTGACGGAATGTTCTGGGAATGCGGCTGCGGCTCGAGAAACGGGTAGAACGGGCGAAGTGTGCCGTTGAGTCAGAGATAGAATTTTCGAGATGACCGTCTGGAGACTTCTAGTAGGAGTTGGACTTAATATAAATAGCCGACTGGCCGGTGGACAGTTTAGTTGAAATATAGAATATTGTAATGAAAAGTTAAAGTGTAAGAAATTAATTAGAATTGTTAGTGTCTAAGTATTATATAAATTAAACACAGTGTCTAGGTACACGCTAACTAGTATGCAATTCAAAAATTTATATACACGCGAAACGTCTTGACAGAGTAGGTGAGCTATGTGCAGGCCGTTGGTGTTTACGCCGGTCGTAGCTAGGAATGGATTGAAATTTTTTTGTGGCGAGAAGTCGTTACTTCTTTTTCCTGTTGTCACGGCATTATTATTATTATTTGTTCATGTATGTGAAATTTGCTTCTAAGGTTTATAAAATACTACTGTGCTAGTCACGGCGTAAATGAAAACAAACAAGACGCATTCACACAAACACCTCCCACCACAGCAATATGACGTTTCGCGTGTATGTAATTTCTTGATTTGCATACACTTTAGCGTGTACCTAGCAACAGCGTAAATTAAATAGTATGTCTGAAATAAATTGTAAATAGTGTGTTTTTAAATAAATAAGCTAAAAATAAATTAGACTTTCGTCACATCATATTGTGAGGTTATTATCATTGCTTTAGTTTCATTGACCTTTGTTTAAGTTTATTTACATTGAGAAATTCGTTAATATTTTGAAGTGTCTGATTTATTTTAGTAATTGCATTTTCTAAATTTTGATCACTTGGAGCTAGTAGGGTGTCATCAGCAAATACATTTAAAAATTCACAGTCTTTTAAGTAATTAAGATCATTAAAACCATAATATTTGAGTTTTTTGAGGAGTAGATTAATGTCATAGGTTTCAAAAGTTCTTTTATAAAGTCTAAAAATACAGCTACAATATATTTGTTTTCATCAACCATTAACTTCCACTTACTCAACGTCAACTGAAGAGCTGTTTCCCACGAAAGTTTTGCACGAAAGCCATATTGGTAGGCCATTAAAATGTTATTATCTTCAACATATTCACAGATTTGTTTATAAGCTGCCATTTCTAGTACTTTTTCTAAAGGAGGTAAAATATTTATAGGTCTAAAGTTAATAGCTTCGTTGTTATTACTAATTTTGGGAATTGGCACAATTGTACTTAACTTTAGTTGATCTGGAAATATGCCTGTAGCCAGGGAAGTATTGATAAAATTTAGAATAATATGGCCCATGACTGAAAACATAGATTTTATAGTTCTGTTGTTAATTGCTTCTGTATTACACTTATTATCTAAATTAGAAATAATTCTTTTAACATATATTTATGGTTAAATCTTAGGGACAGTATGGTTAGGTCTTCTGGAAAAAGCGCCCTTGTGGATACAGTGGTATTGTACTATATGTTGAACAAAATATCGGACTAAAATAAATATCTCAAAATAAAATTATTTAACATAGTTCCAACTTTCTTGTGGAGTTTATTGAATTTGTATGCTTGGTTTGTCTGTTTAATTAGGGGATTTTCCTTTTTTAATCATTTTGGGAACTTTTTTTAATTCATTAAGTGTTATATACGAATATATTTGGAAAGAACTTTAATATTCCAATTTAAAGGAACAAAGTGATGGCAATATTTTTGTGTCATGAATATAACGTCTCATCTTGGTAATCTTTTGTTAAACTTTGTGGACAGTACGGTTAAGTCTTGTTGACAGTATGGTTATGTCTTATAGACAGTACTGAATAATTGTGGCATACTTTTTCATATTACCATGTACAATTATCTGTAATAAATGGATAAAATAAACAATACTCACCGTTAGAACTCTTCAGGTCCCGATGTATAAGCGAAATGGGCGCCCTACAATGCAGATAGTCCATTCCGCGCGCGATCTGTATCGCCCAATCGACCAAAACGTCTGGTCTGATCTTCCTCCCGGCCAAAATCCGATTCAACGACCCGCCCCTACAGTATTCCAACACCAAACACAAATTTGGTTCCTGCAGACACACGCCTTCCAACGAAACGATGTTCTCGTGACACAACAAACAGAACAGTTTTGCCTCTTTAATGACATTTTCCATGGTGACGCTGGCGTCAGCGTCGGCGTCCTGACGCGCCGCTTTGACAGCCACCTCGTGATTGTTCCATATGCCGCGGTACACTTTGCCGAAGCCGCCGACGCCTATGACTTCTTCCAGTTCCAGTTCGGCGAAGTCAATTTTGACGGGGTCTATGTCGGCGATGATGTTATTGTAGTGCTCGGAGAAGTCGTGTTCGGGGTCCTGGTGGGCGACGAAGTTCGAAGGGAAGATTCCCACCTTCTCCCCGATCTTTCCCGTCCACCAGCCCTCGTCGCCGGATATTTTGGCGTCTTCGGACAGAACTTCGACGATTTGTCCCTTCCTGAGGGATAGCTCATCCTCTCCTTGGGCATCGTAATCGTAGAGCGCTGTTCTGAGGTAGGGCACCGGCACCAAAGGGTTCCTGTGCAAGACAGACCGATGGGCGATGTTAAGTGGGATGGGATGAGGATGGTGGACGTTGTGCGTCCGGTGCTCCACTTGAACCGAGTCTCCATTTCGGGACGCTTCCATGTGCCTCGGCTGATACTGATAATGATGCAACTGCTCCACCAGCGGAGGCATCCGTTTGGGTCAACGGAATCTGAAACAACCAAAGTTTCAGACAACACAGTACATATTCTACATAAATTAATAATTTAAATGATTGTCCAGAGCTCCTAGAACAACTTAATTTATATGTACCATGACTAAATAGAATAAACAATCTGACATTTTACTTCTACTCCTAGAACAAACATTATCATGAACTTTCCCTTAAATAGAATGTGCATCGTTTTTAATAAAATTACTAAAGGGGTTGACCCATTATTTTGTTCATTAAATTAGTTTAAGAATGGAATCGAAATATCTATTATACCTATATCTATTATACCTATTTTTGTAAAAATTAATTTTTCTTAATATTATAAACCTATTTTTTATTTAAAATTTATTTTATTTAAGATTTACATATATACATTTTATATTTGACAGTTATTCACTTAATAATAACTTAAAGAACGAAAAATAAGCACCTAGGTGTGTCCACCTGTGTGTGCTATAGCATACAAATAAACTAAACTAAAGTGTAAATTTACAAAACGTGTTGTGACGGTAACAAAAACAAAAATTGATTCCAATGTGGGGTGGGGGTGTATCAATCAATTCATAAAATCTCCTTAAATAAATCTAAGTTAACAGTAACATATTGTTTAGCTTTAAGTCGAAATATATGTAATTTGGTTATATTTTTTATGTTTATCAGTAGCTTATTAAAAATTTAGGGAGCAACTGTGGTTACAAATCGTTGACTGGCGTCACGTTGACATGTTGCTGTTATTTGACTTGGCTCTTGTGCTGTGGGGATGTGTAGCAGTAATTCTTAGATGTGGTTTTTTATATATGAAAATACAACATAAGTATAAGTGGAGTGTTCTTATGTTTAGTCGGGTAAAGTGATGGTTGTTGGTAGATAATTTTGACAATGCGATATTGTATAACTCTGAGAGGCTGTAAGATTGCATCATATAAACCCCCCAAACAATTATCCCATATCGAAGGATTGACTCTACTAGTGATTTGTAAATAATTATTAACTGGTTGCGGTCCATAAACTTTCTCATTTGATAAAATTTGTATATAAACCTTCGCAATTTGGTTACAAGAGATTGTATTTGTTCATTCCATTTGACCTTTTGATCAATTATGATTCCTAAATATTTTGTTTTTTCCGGACATATTTATTTTGAAGTTATTGTTTATGCATAAGTTAAAATTCAGTCGATTTACATTTGTTATTGAAAATGCTATAAACGTAGTTTTGCTAAGATTTAAGGAAAATTTATGAAAATCTAACCAATTTTTAACTCCACTTATGCCCAGTTGAGCTTTGATCTTTACATCTTTCCAAGTGTGATCATTAAAAATTATAGCAGTGTCTTCAATAAGAAGTTTATATATACTAAAAACGACAAACGCTCTAACCACAATTTGCCCAGTTCCATGTTCTATGGCCAAGATATTGCAAATCTATTTAGGGACTTCTTTCAAACTGTATACACTATTAGTGATAATACTGATGATGTACTAGAGACGAGAGCCTAAGCAACAATATAAGGAGTAATGTAATATCAAAATCTGACATCTTCAATGAAATTTTAAATATTCCAAATAAGTTAACATTAGGTCCAGATGGTGTTCCTAACTTTTTATTAAAGAAATGTGTTTGCACAATTGTTTTACCCTTATTTTTGCTATTTAACAAATCATTAGAATGTTCTATTTTTCCTGAGATCTGGAAAGTAAGCCATATTGTTCCTATTTTCAAAAGTGGGGAAAAGAATAACATCGAGAATTACCGTAGTATCTCTATACAATCTGCTATACCAAAATTATTTGATTGCCTATTTAGCAAACAACTGACTTGGCAATGTAAAGGCTTAATCTGTCAGGAACAACATGGTTTTTCCCAGAACAGATCAACTATTTCAAACTTAACAACCTATCAATTAAATGTTCTTCAAAACATGGAAGACAAAAAACAAACCGACTCGATCTACACAGACTTTTCAAAAGCCTTCGATCGAGTAGATCACAATATTTTGTTAAATAAGTTGCTTTCAGTTGGCTTCAACTTAGGCTTTGTTTTGTGGTGGGAAAGCTCATTGACTGATCGTATTCAAACGGTAAGAATAGGTTGTTACTACTCAGATACAATTAATGTTACATCTGGTGTACCTCAAGGGGGCCATAGCTCACCTCTTCTTTTTAACATTTTTGTGAATGATATTGTTGGTTGTTTTGTGTACAGCCAATGTGCTAAGTTTGCTGACGATCTCAAGTTTTGGAGAACAGTAGAGAACATTTGTGATCAAGAACTCCTTCAGGAGGATTTGAATCGCTTAGTAGAGTAGTGTAATAAAAACAAATTGTACTTAAACGAAAATAAATGTTGCTATATAAGTTTTTCCCAGAAAGCTGTTAGGATAGCAACAAACTATTTTATTAATGATCACCAACTTGAATACAAATCAACAGTAAAATATCTGGGTGTCATTTTTGATGAAAAACTAGCATTTGTTGAACATATAAACTCAATCTCTATTAAAGGATCAAAAATGTTGGGATTTGTTATAAGAAATTGTAAGTACTTCTCCACTGATGCCACCAGAATGGTCTACTGCTCGTTACTTAGATCCATGCTTGAGTATGGCTCAATTGTGTGGTCACCATTTTTTCAAATTAATTCTGATACTTTGGAAAGGGTACAACACACATTTTTGAGAGTATGTGCAGTTAAAAGTAATGTCAGGATTTAAAATCATGATTATAGTGCTATAGAAAGTCAATTAAATTTGCCTCCTTTGGCTTAGTATTTGTATTCAAAATTTTAAATGGAATTATAGACTGTCCTTCTCTTTTGAGCGGGATTGGCCTAAATGTTCCTTATTACCTTGGACTGAGATAACCATTAACATTTACTATACCGTTTCATAGAACGAGCTATGGCGTCAACAGTTCTATTGACAGATATTTGTCTATGTTGAATAATCTTAATTTAGATATTTTTAATAGGGGATTAGCCAAATTTAAAACCAATTGTAAAAATGTGATACATGTTCCTTAACTTATATTTAACGTATATTTAAATTCACCTCAATTAATTACTGTAAAAACTCACTTTTGTACTTTGTTTTTTGGTTTGTTTTAGTAATGTTATAGTAATAGTATTTTTCTATCTGCCTTTTTATATTTTTATATTGTAAATTGTATAAATTTCTTTAATGGGGTTATCCCATATAATAAATAAATAAAAACAGGGTTGGTCCAAGAACAGTTGCTTGGGGGACGCCTACTATTACTTCAACCCAACAAAAATTTTACAAAATTCCTCCAACCATTTATATTTTAACCCAATTCCTACCAGGTGCGATTTACACTGCTGTGTGCCAGATTTCAACATTGTTCTTATTCGGTAATGACAGGAAAATGTTTATAAAGGCCTTAAGTCAGTGATCTGTGTAAGACATGAATCACCTGTTTGCATCATGATACCAAAAAGGTTAGACACTAGAAAGTTTTACTAAGTAGAACTGAAATTGGAAGATGTGGCATTTAAATGGTCTTTAAGCTAAGTTATTAAATTTTATGAACAACATGGTTGTCTTAGGCGCAATATGGTTAAATCATCTGGATAGGTTTTGACTCGACATTTTGAAGCTGGCTAGGCACTAATCATCGTAGCGCCCCACTTTTACATCTCCTAATAAGGAGCTAAGAATTTGTAGTTTATTTAAACCATTTTATAACAAGAGCTACCAATATTTTTTCATTATTTATTGGAATAAGAAAACAATACAAGCATTCACTGTTTACATGTCTTACTGGTACAGGTTGCAGAAGACACTGATTAAACAAGTAAAGGTGCATATAAATAGGGCGAGTCTTGCCTGAGCATAGCCCAGATTGTACTTTTTCCCGCTGCACTTGATAGACTCAGAACATGTATAAATCTGTCGAACTGAGCTCATTGTTGGTTCAGCTCAGGCGCAGCTCATCATATTTATAGGCGCTTTCTTGTAAGGAGTACAGATTAGCCTTATTAACAAATTAGTACAAAATATTTAAAAATGTTTAAAAAAGGAAGGAATTGCGCTCTAATTTTATATCTTAAAAATTAGCTAAATGTAACAAAATTCTGGGAAAGGCCACCTTTAAAAATTTTGGGCTCTAGGTAGTGATGGGTAGCTGGGAAATTTCCCCGGGGAATTTCCATTGGAAACTGGAAAATTCCCGGGAATTTCCCCAAACCCTAATTCCCGGGAAAGAAACGGGAATTTTTCTATTCAGTGTTACAGAAAAATGAGGAAAAAATTTTTATGGATAAATATTTGGAAAGAAAAGCTTATGCGCTTACATCTATCCATAAAGGATCTTGTCTATTAGATCCAAAGGCGCAAGGTTGCTACTTAATTGCTGAAGAACAACTCGATGCCATTAAACACTTAGTTAGCTTCGCAAGAAGTTCACATTTCTCTGATGATGCCATTTCTCCAATAAGCTTGTTGAAATTTCCAATTATAGAGCGCACGAAGATATGTGGGCGAAAGATTTTATTTGGACTGCTTCACAGAATGTAACACCTGTCGTTTGGTGGAAGGGAATTATTGGACAGAACAATCAGCTATCAAAAGTGGCAGTAAAAATTCTTTCTGTTCCTGCTACTTCAGCTTCGACTAAGCGAACTTTTTCCACATTTTCTGCAGTTCAAATAAAGAAATGGAACAAGCTAACAACTCTGCGTGCAATAAAATTAACGTACATCGCCCATTACTGGCGAACGCGTAACAAAGACAGCTGTACAGGATGTACCACGTTTTGTCAAGTAACCAGTTTGACTCAAGTAACTGAAAGTGTTCAGCATTCCAACATGATAGTGCCGGAAGCAGAGATACCTGGACCTTCAGGCCTTTCAAAATCACCAGTAAATTTTGAGCCAGAGACAGAAACTTCTTCGGAGGACGAAGAAATTCCTTATCAGGATTCTGATGAGGAAGACGTGACTGATGAGGTTAATAGCTCAGAAACTGAAGTTTTTACATA